CCAGGAGGGGCGCTATAGGGCCAAGGAAGGGCGCGACGGGGCCCAGGAGGGGCGCGACGGGGCCTGGGAGGGGCGCGACGGGGCCCAGGAGGGGCGCTACGGAGCCCAGGAGGGGCGTGACGAGGCCCAGGAGGGGCGCTACAGGGCCTAGGAGGGGCGCGACGGGGCCTGGGAGGGGCGCGACGGGGCCCAGTAAGGGGTGCGACGGGGCCCAGGAGGGGCGCTACAGGGCCCAGGATGGGGCGCGACGGGGCTAGGGGGGTCGCGACGGGGCTAGAGGGGTGAGCGGAAGCGGTAGGTGGGGAGGGGATCCTACCTACGCGTGATACCATATCAAAATTGAGAAGTGAATGATTGGATAGCGTGAGAGTACACACAGATATACCTAAGTGTTGTACTCTCTAAGAGGCGACCCTATACAGTCTATACAAACATGACAAATACACATGTTTGACAAGCGGAAGTTGAAGTAGTTGAACCCTTGCACTAGTATGTGAGAGCAAGTGATTGATTAAAAGGACAAGCATACAGCAATATATAGAAACTAGGAAAGTAAAGCAGTTGTAGAATACAGTTGAAAGGGCGGTTTATCGAGTCGCACAGCGACTCGATTGTTGCTTCGGTTACCATCCTTGCAGTTGTAACGGTCAGTCGCAACCTCCGGTTGTAACCCTTCGAGTCCTTTCGTGTTCTTTGTCCATCCCCTCGTGTAACCTCCGTTGACTCGCGTACCCGTTACGATCTTCCTCGAGTGTGGTGTTACACTTCCGAAACGCTGAAGTCCTTGAGATATTTCCAACACTCCCCTTCGTTTCTGGAGTGCTGCTGTGTCCGGATTCAAGGATGTTTATCTGCCCGGTCAATAGCATGCAGTAATCGAACTTTGGTTTCGCTAGTTTCTTCATCAGGTAGTCTGCAGCCATTTCTGCCGTGGGGCAGTAACTGAGTTGAAGTCTCCCCTTCGCGATTTCATCTTTGACGAAGAAATACCGCAGGGCGATGTGCTTGGTTCAGTTGGCGAAACCGTCCTTGTTCGCGATTTTGATCGCAGATTGGTTGTCGCAGAGGAGCGAGAAGACGGGCAGGGTCGCAATCTTTGCTTCCTCGAGTAACTCTCGCAGGTAAAGTCCTTCCTTGGTCGCAGTACAGAGGGCGATATATTCTGCTTCAGCCGAAGATAGTGCGATTAGTTCCTGTTTGCTCGACTGCCAGGAGATAGTCCCGATAGGCTCTAGTCGGTAGATGTAGCCCGTCCTTGAGCGTCGATTTTCCCTGTCTCCCGCGTGGTCGGCGTCGACGTATCCGAGTCGTTGTACGGATGATGTCGTTACTTTACTGTAGGTAAGTCCGGTCGTCGGCGTAGAGACGAAGTAGAGTATGTTAAAATTATATAAGTTATAATTTATATAGGCTTGGTAGGTTGTTACTGAACCTTTTCTGTAGAGGGTACAAACCCCTCCTTGTACTCCTCTCTCTTCCTAATCCAACTCTCTTCTCTCTCTACACTCTCGTCCAACTCCTAGCTAAACCCCGCCGCCACATTCATGGCGGCCTTGTTCATGCCTAGTATCCTAGCCTAGAGCTACTTTAACATGGTATCGAGAGCAGGAAGTCCTTCCTGGGCCTGCTCCCCTCCGTGCTTCCGCTGCGTTCTCGTTCACTGCCTTCCGACTTCCTGCCGTGCTGTCGCGTCGTGACGCGTGGCGTCGACGCCACACTGCTGTGACGGCGCCGTGCTTACCGTCGCAGCGGCGACGTCCCACCGCTGCATCAACGCCGCGATGTGTCGGCGTCGTAATGCTGCCGTGGCAGCATCGTCGGACGGCAGCTTGCCGCGCGACGCTCCTGGCACCGCCACACCTGCTGCCCGCACGCCAGCCTCTAGTGTGAGGCTGGACCACGCCCCGCCCCCCTTCCCCTGTGTCCTGTAACTTGCCACAGCCGACGGCTGACTCCCGCCGGCCGTCCCACCGTCACCGAGAGGTGCGGGTGACGCCGCCGCCGCCGCTGTTCTTGAAGCCGCCGCCGCCGCCGCTGTCGCCGCTTGCGTCGGGGCCGAGCAGCCGCACGCCGTCGCCGCCGCCGCTGCCGCCGTCGCCGCCGCAACCCCTGCGGTCGACGTCGCCACCTCACGCACCGTGGGGTCGACCGACCTAGTGTCACGGTCACTGTGGTTGGAATGGGGGTGCTAGGTTAGGGGGTGTGTGGTGTGCTGTGTGGGTGTGTGACTACCAACCCTAGGGGGTGTGTTAAAATTATATAAGTTATAATTTATATAGGCTTGGTAGGTTGTTACTGAACCTTTTCTGTAGAGGGTACAAACCCCTCCTTGTACTCCTCTCTCTTCCTAATCCAACTCTCTTCTCTCTCTACACTCTCGTCCAGCTCCTAGCTAAACCCCGCCGCCACATTCATGGCGGCCTTGTTCATGCCTAGTATACTAGCCTAGAGCTACTTTAACAGAATAGTGCCCGATTTAGTTCCTCGGGATCTTCTTGTTCTGGCTGCTTCATATGCGTCGCCAGTTGGCTCGCGCTGTAAGATAGGTCAGGTCGGCAGGTTACTGCTGCGAATAGTAGGCAGCCGAGCTTCTGCAGATACTCCTGGATTTGCTTCGCGGGGAGTTTTGCGGAGGTGTCGTAGTTGTTCCCGTAGCGGTAGGGAGTCGTGACTGTAGTCGGTGTTAGTCCGAATTTCTTCGCGACAACGACTGCGTATTTTCCAGCATATAGGTAGAACGCCGAGTTGTCTTCGACGACGTTCAGACCCAGGTACTGGGTCACGGTGTCAGACACCGCGAGTGTCAAGTCACTTCTCAGTTCCCCTTCGAACCAGGTGGCGATGTCGGTAGTGGAGCCGATGTAGAGCAGGTCGTCGACGTAGATGATGAGTAGGATAGAACCTCCTTCCTTCTGTAGTCGGTACATGCCTTGGTCGTGCGGCAGCTGTAGGAACCCGATTCTGACGAGGCGGCCGTGAAGATGCTGCTGCCAAAGCCGCAGAGCTAGCTTGATCCCGTAGAGGGATTTTATCAGCTGGCATACTTTTGTGGGGTCGTCGATGAATCCGTGGGGCTGCTCGACGAAGATCTCGGCGTCCACAGGTGCGTACAGGAAGGCATTTGCGACGTCGATCTGGCGTAGTGGTAGTTTCTTCGTGGCCGCGACGGCGAGTAGAATGCGCAAGGAGGTGTGACGAGAGACTGGGGCGAATGTTTCTGTGTAGTCGGTTCCGTATCGTTGATCGAATCCTCGTACGACCCAGCGGGCCTTGAATCGTTCGATAGAGCCGTCCGCATTGGTCTTGATGTGGTACACCCACTTTCCCGAGAGAACGTTCTTCCCGTTGATGTTCGTTGCAGGTAACAGCTTCCATGTATTTCGGTCTCGCAGAGCTTTCAGTTCCTTTTCCATTGCCTCCTTCCATTTCGCCTTATGTTCCCCCCCCAGAGCCTGCGACAGAGTCGTTGGCTGGCGCAGAGACGGCGGCGGCGGGTGCTGGACGGAGACCCATAAGCCGAGTGTCTGCAGTCCCGTGGGTGTGTGTCGAGGGGAATTTCCATTCCTGAAGTAGGCTGCTTCGTCACCATCTTCTGGATCAGGTATGAAGTTTGGGCCGATGCGTTCTGAGACATTCATGTCGATCGGGTGAGGTGTAACGTAACCTTGGTCAACGAAGTGGTAAAGGGTGTCGAGGTTGGTGCTATCGAGAGGATTGTCGTCGTCGAGTGGAACAGGCACGGAACAGTAAGGGAGTGGTCCGGCAGCTTCCGAAGCTTCAGGTACGTCTTCTTCTGCTGCGTCAGCCTCGTCAGCACCGTCGGCGAAGGAGCGAAGGCCCGCGAAGCCGTCGGTGGGGTCGTCTGTGTTGGCGACGTTGTCCAGGTAATGCTGCAGCGTCAGTCATTCGTAGAAAATTACATCACGTGATGCCACGGTATTTTTGTCTTCTATGTCGAGGAGTTTCCATGCTTGGAAATGTTTGGCGATGCCGAGGTGTAGTCCCCACCGTGCTCGTTGAGTGAAGCATCCTGCTCGGGCTGTGTGGGGTCTGTATTGTACCATGCAGCCAAAAACCCGAAGTAATTTTTTGCTGCCCCTTTTTCGTGTCCACAGCAGGTGCGGTGATGCGTTGTTGGGAAGCGAGGACGAGGATAACAAATTGTGCAGGTGGACTGCATGGGTCATCGCGTCTGGCCATAGTGTGTTGGGCAGTCTCATCCCCAGGAGCAGCTTCCGCATCGTCGTCTGCAAGGTCCGGTTCATTCTTTCTGCGACCCCCTGCTGCTGGTGAGCGTAGGGCAGAGACACCAGGCGTCTGATTCCTCTTTCCGCCAAGTACTTCCTGAATCGTTGTGACTGGTATTCCAGTGCGCCATCTGAGTGGAAGCTCTTGAGCTTGGTTCCTGATTCTCGTTCAGCGATGGGGAGCCACGTCGTGAAGGCTTCGAAAGCTTGATCACGCGTCTTGAGGTTGTAGTGCCAGACATATCTTGTTGCTGCATCGATGAACGTGATGACGTAGTTGGAGTCGGCTTCAGTGTCGTCTCGAGGCATGTTTAAGATGTCGCTGTAAAATTTTTCCATCGGTGCGTATGCAGGTGCGCTTGGGTTGTGATGTGATGGAAAAGGATGATGGGGAAGATCGGCTTCGGGGCACGTGAAGCACTGTGCGCGTGGTCGTCGAAGTTCTTGGCCGCTCGTTGTATGAATAGCGTTTCGTTCTAACACTTCGGCTTGGATGGTTTGTAGTACTGTGCTGTTTGCAGGGTGCCCGAGGCGTTGGTGCCAGATGTCGTCGGGAGCGCGATGGCCGGGCGAGCGTTGGTACATGTCGGTGTTGGAGAAGAACGCGACGACCGTGGCGGGACTTCGGCAGACTTCTCGTGTGATTGGCATAAGTTGATCTGCTTCGGTTGGTGGTCCTCGGATTGCTGGTGATGGTACTCGGCTGGGTCCCGCTGCTGTTACTGCAGGTGATGTCGAGGAAGGGACGCTGAAGTCCTCGAGATATTTCCAACACTCCCGCTAAGGGGATGATATTCTAAATTAGAGAGTTCAAAAGTGGACCTGCAACGAGACTGATATCATACCATCATCGACCTACATACATGCTACGTCTGAATTTCTAGGATGGCGATGCTATGCTATTACTTCCTAGTACCGTAAAACATAAATCTGGTCCCACACCACACTCATCCATATGCCTCTCCGGAAGAAGCAGCTTCCTTCACAAGTGGTGTGAGTGACCGAACCACAATGCTCATGCTAGGGCGGAAGTCAGCATCATACTGCACACAAAGGGCTGCTAGGGCGGCAAACTGGCAAGGGAAAGAGACGGGAGGGGAGGGGAGGGGAATATCGAGGGAAGGATTTCAGTGAGTGGAATGACGAGAGCAAGCAAGAGTGTGGGGAATGGAAATGGAACATCAGAAGAAGACTGGAGATTATATGAAGTGATAGTCCCACCCACACACACTGATTTGGATCACATCCCACCTGTTGAGATACATCTGACGACCCACCTTGGCTACGGATTTCTCAGGAAAGTTGCCTTTGAGCTTGGGGTCCACACATGACTTGACTCTATCCTCCGCCAATCGGCCTTGAGTTGCCTGTACACAACCATTACCATGCCATGCATTACATGATGCCATCCGTTACATGCCATGTCACACAAATTTATGCCAGAAAGGTAATTGCATGAAAACCCTCCCTTATGGTTAGCAGTGATGATGTGATGGAGGCTTCACAAATACAGAGGGAGGAAAGTGACACAGAGGGACGGCGGGTGGGGGAGGGAAGAGAGAAAAGACAAGCCGAGAGTGACTGAGGGGAGGAGCACGCACATGCACAGGCACAAGGACACGCACATGAAACGGTCATGCACACACAAGCACACACAAGCACATACAAGCACGCACAAGCACACACCCACACGCACCCATGTGACGAGCGACTGCTGGCCTCTGGGCATGTTGGGGTCCACTGGCTTGCGGCCTGTGAGCAGCTCCAGCAGCACCACGCCAAAGCTGTACACGTCGCTCTTCTGCGTCAGCCGGCCCAGCGTGGCATACCTGGCGGACAGGGGAGAAAGGGGAGAGGAGGGTAGAGAGAGGGTTGAGAGAACGGATCTGAGGAAGAGAGATTTACATGTGCCTGAAAAACAGATTGGGGAAGTGGGAGTGGGTGGCAGGGAGAGGGAGGGGAAGGGGTGCCGGTTTCGAGACAGCCAAAAAGTCCAGGAGAAGCTGCAGTGTGATTTAAGACTTAGCTGAAAGGCTGCTGTGGCCGTATACTGAGGGAAGAGAAGGGAGGATGGAGAAAGGTTGGAGAGTGACATAGGCGGACGAAAAAGCACACACACAGCAACCTCACAAAAGCCACTCTCTACATACTCCGGTGCATTATATCCAAACGTGCCCAGGACACGAGTTGACACCATTTTGGACCCTTGGTCCGGGGCCTCGTTCGCCACGTTAAAATCCGCAATCTTGGCGTCAAAGTCCTCAAACACCAGCACGTTTGCGGACTTGACCGATTTGTGCACCAGCGGCGGGTTGGCCTTCTCGTGTAGGTACTCCAGACCCTTGGCTGCGCCCAGGGCTATCTTCACGCGCTGGTGCCATGACAGGGTTATGGGCGGGACGTCGGTCTTGCGGGCTACCTTGCGACCTGGGAACGGAGGAGGGAGGGAGGGAGGGAGGGAGGGAGAGAGGGAGGTGTTGAGGTAGGGAGGATAGTGGTGAAGGAGGGTGGGAATGAGAGGTGTGGAGGAAGAGAGTGGCCAGCTCCTCCAAGGCATTCCCCCTCATCTCTTTTCTCCCCTCGTCCCTCCCGCTGCCATATAGCAAGCCATGCTCGCAGAAAGCCATGCTCGCAACGAGCTCATATGACACCAAGCCCTTCCCCTTGCTTCCGCCTTCATTGCCTCTTCAGCTCATCCTGGTTTGCAGCTTCAGTGCCCTACCCCCCCCCTCAACCTCTTCTTTAAGACCCCCTGCCGTTATGTACGTGCGATGCATTCTCTTAGTGGAGAAAGAACCAGTTTTGAGACGTGTCAAAACAGTACACACCCACACACCCACACACGCCCACACACACCCACGCATAACCACGCACACCCGCACACCCACGCACACCCGCACACACCAATGCACACCCACGCACACTCACTCACACTCATGCACACCCATGCACACCCCACGCACACTCATGCACACCCATGCACACCCCACGCACACTCGAGCGCGCACCATGCAGTATGTCGTGCGCAGCGTACTCGAACGCGAGCACGGCCAGCCACACACACCCCCACGCACACCCACGCGCACCCACCATGCAGTATGTCGTGCAGGCTGCCGTGCGCGGCGAACTCGAACGCGAGCACGGCCACATACACACACACACACGCACACACCCACGCACACCCACACACACCCACACACACCTACACACACTCAGGCACGCCCCACCCACACACCGTGCAGTATGTCGTGCAGGCTGCCGTGCGCGGCGAACTCGAACGCGAGCACGCGCTGAGCGCCGTCGGAGCAGAAGGCGATCAGCTGAGTCACGCTCTCGCTCTTCAGCTGACTCACCGTCGACACCTGCCCGCGCGCGCGGGGGGGGTGGGGAGGGTGGGGAGTGGTGGGGTGGTGGGTTGGGTGGTAGACGACGCACGGGCGACCAGGGGAGGGTGTTCTGAGGGCGTGGGTGAGGAGGAGTGGTGGGTTGGTCAGCGGAAGCTGACACGCAATCAGGAGAGTGGGTGAATATCGGGGTTGGACGCACAAGGGGTCACGCAAGGGGTCACGCAAGGGGGCGCACTAAGGGGCGCGCAAAGGGGCACGCAAAGGGGCGCGCTAAGGAAGACGCAATGGGACACGCAAGGGTATGCGCAAAGGGACACGCAATGGGACGGGTATGACAGACGGAGAGGGATGCATACAACCGGAGCGCCAGGGGACCAGGTTCCTAACGCTCAGACTACCGAGCAACACCAGGTTTCCCAGTCCTGATTAGTCGACGCTCAACTCGCCTGCAAACTCATGACTCGAGCACCCCCTAAAGGAACATCCAACCCACACCTTAAGCTCAAACCATTAGCTCATCCATCCCTTCCCCCTTTCTCGATAGAAACTTCAAACCCCCCTTCACCCCCACCCTTTTCACCACCCAGCTTTCAAAACCCCTCCCAGCCTTCAAACCCCCCAACTCTTCCCCCCCCCCATCCCCCCCCCCTCTCCCTCCCCCCCCCCATCCCCCCCCCTCTCCCTCCCCCCCCCCATCCCCCCCCCTCTCCCTCCCCCCCCCATCCCCCCCGCTCTTTGAACGAGCCGCCGCGATTCAACCAGCCCTCCTCCTTCAACGCACCCCTTCGAGGAACTCGTTTTCGGGCTGCGACCCGTCCAGCTTCTTAATCGCCACGGGCCGGCCGTTGAGCGAGCCCTGGTAGACGCGCCCGAACGACCCCTCGCCCAGCATGTTCGCGGGCGCGAAGTTGTCCGTGGCCTCTTTAAACTCGTCTATCTTCAGCCGCGGAACGACTATTTGCTCCGACCGCTGCGGGCCCACGCCCGAGCCCTCGACCGCGGGTGGCGCAGGCTGAAAGGCCGGAATGCCTGGGGAAAAGGGGGAGAGAAGGGGGGGGGGGGGGGGGGGGGGTGTGAAAGGGTGTTGCGGGTAGAGGGGGGGAAGAGAAAAGGGAGAGGGGAGGGGGAAAGGCGGGACTGGGGGAACGGGGGGGGAGAGAAGGGGGTGATGATCTAGTCTAAAGAAGGCGATGTTTGAGGAGGGGACACGGACAAATGAGACAAATAGCCGCCTCGTGGGTGGAGCGGGTGGATAGGTGGCGAAAGGAGAAAATGGGAGACGCGGGAATAGAGGTCTGGAAGAGTAGGGGGGAGAACATGGGGATGATTATGCTGCGGGTAACATATCTCGCATCAGGACGAGACAGAACCTAGACTCACGGCGACGCAACCTGGCGGGACTGGGTTGATAGCCGAAAAGCGCGTGAGCGCCGCCAGAGCGGTAAAACGCCTGACGCGGCTAATATGCTCGGCACACGGTCACGGTCACGGTCAGAGCATACCTCCGCCGGGGGGGGCGCCGGGATCCGGAACTTCGTCGTCGAAAAACGGGCAGGAACACGCGCACCCCATCGCGCACCAACCACCAAAACGGCGCGCCAAGATACGCCAAGACACGCCAAGTCACGCCAAGACGCGCCAAGACACGCTAAGACACGCCAAGACACGCCAAGACGCGCGAACTACGCAAGGATCAGAGAGCGATTGGAACTGGTATTTCAGGAAGCGCCGCCGAAAGTGAGCGTGGGGGATCCTGCTTTCGCGAGCGCGACGTGTAGGCAGATTGACGGTGCTAAGTAGCGCTGCGAACGCTCTAAGGAAGTGGACCCCCGACTCGCGTGTCGGCTTCTTATTCGCGTTGAAGTCGGCTTTGAGCGGCAGAGGGGTTTTCAGTCTGCTTTGTCGGGCCGATGGTGCGGATAGGCTGGAAATGGCTCTCGAGCAAAGCGTCTTACAAGCACGTGGCGGCAGCGCTTTCGTCTGTTGAGCAGAACAGGCAGACGGGGATAGACACTATTGCTCCACTAAATTGCATACAAGAACCCCGCATATGGCAGTGGAACAACGAGGAGAGAAGGGAGCTCGAAGCCGCAGCTCTACAATAGAGCAAGGGAAGGAAGAAGAACTCTAGTTGGTCTGGCAGGGGACCTCGGGTTTTGGTTGGGCCGCGTGGGAGTATGGCGTGGTGTGGAGCTGGAATGAGTCAGAAGTACAACACGGTGAAGTTTGGGGGACGTAACTTTGCGGTACAGCACGGTGCCCTACGTTTTCTACTCGGTGTCAGATTCGAACCGCTAAACAATGTGAGGCACCGTTTTGTACCGCAAAGCGATGTTCCCCCGAAGTTTTGCATGGATATTCCCCGAGGCTGGTTTGGAAGCTGGCGCTCCCAAGGAGGATCTACCGTGCGATTTGCCTGCTTCGTTTCGTTTCGCTTCGCATTGTCCAGTGTCCCCTGCCCTACCCCTCTGCCCTCGTTTCGTCCTGTACGCGTTCCGTACCCTAACACTTTCTGTTTCGAACGAGCCCCCCCCTAGTTCTGCTCGCGGCTCGAGCCTGCACTCCAGACCAGAACCAAAAGCTCAACGGTTGGGCTGTGGGGGGGAGGGGAGCTGGGCCCGAGGGAGAGAGGCTGGAGGCGCGGTGGAGCTGGCGGAATGGTGTTGTTACCCTCATCAACCTGCACGTTCGCGCGTTTTCTCGACCCTTCAGCTGCAAGCATGTCCTGTACAAGGCGACGCATCCATAGAATGCTTCGTATATCCCTTCATCCTTCATGGTACACTCTACAAGACATTCTATAATCATGAACCAACTCCCTTCTCCATCATTGCAGCACATCAACACGTCTTCCCTCCCTTGGAAACAAAAGCTTGAATGCACACCAGATTGAATACTTAAGACAGTAAAATTAGAAAAGTGCAGATTCAGAAGCGGGTCACTCTACAGTATCCCTTCTATGTCAGACTTTGGCAAGCATAGTTGGACAAGTTTTCCAGTCTAATCAAGCTACAGAAAGAAGCTGCATTCCCCAACAGATAAACCTCCCTTTCCCCACCCAAGCTTGCCTAACAGGCAGGTTATGAGTACAGCAATCCATGAACATTGCTGCCCTGTAGTCCAAAGCAATTGCCCCCGTGTCATCTGATTGCCTCAGTGCCAGGGAAACCGCCCTCTCCCCCTCCCCCCCCCCCCTCCAACACCCTTAGGGCATCCAATAGCAGTCTTCTTCCCGCACCAACTACACTCCAGCTCCTTTCTGCTTCCTCCTGTCCCCTTGCACGATCTTGACCAATGCGTTGTCATCAACTGCCCAAACACTGCCTTGTCTCAGCAGCACTCAACCCTTCTTCCGCTTCCTCGACTCCAACCCCTCCTACTAGGCTCTGGACCTCCTTCCCCTTCCCGCTCCCCTTCCCCTTCCTCCCAAGCCCCACTCGCTCCCACTCTTTATTTTGGCTCTCCCTCTCATCCCCCCAAAAAATCCCCATACAAACTCCGTCCCAAACACCTCTCAGACCCTCATGAATATGCAATTAGGGTGAACGCCAAACTCACCTCCCACCAGCTGCTCCTAACCCAACTCGTTCACTCTGCCTTCACTCGTTCAAGCGCCCGGAAATTTCTGCGTTCCACTAACCTACAATGCCCTGCCTGCTCTCCGCCCGCACTCCGCCCTTCTCCTTCCCTCGCGGCAATCCAGCAGCAGGCACCACACCACACCTCACCTGAGCTCCCCAGTGAGCCCGCGGTCCCTGATCTCCCCCGCCTGCATGGGCGGGCGCATGTCAAACGTCTGCGAATACGACCCAGAGAAGGAACCCGAGTGGCGGAAGCTCTGCGAGTTGGCCGATGCATAGCCGCGCAGCAGGTCCAGCAGAGCCTTCGCCTGGGGGCGGGCGGGGGGAAGGGGGGGCACGGTATGGGGGGTAGTATTCAATGTGAGGCGCCTGAGAAAGGCTCTGCAAGTTGACCGATGCGTAGCCGCGCAGCAGGTCTAGCAGAGCCTTCGCCTGGGGGCGGGTGGGTGGTGGGATGGGATGGGAGAGAGGGCCGGAGTTCTGAGGCGCCGTGTGAAGTCTCTGCGAGTTGGGTCCTCCAGGCTTTCGTCTGGGAGGAGGTGGCATGGGAGAGAAGGGAGGTGACAGAGTGGGGAGGGAAAGGAGGGGAGGGGGAAAGGGAAGAGGGGAAAGGGGAGCGGTAGTGAAGAGGGGTGAAGGGAGAAAGAGGTTCAATTGGCTCCCGAAACAAGCACACAGACATGCGAGCATGGGGCCACACGAAAGCAAGAGAAAACAGTCAGTGGAAACCCTAACGCCACTATACAAAGCGGAGGGCTTCACCGGTGCAGCGAAATACCCTGCCGCTTCCAACGCTCGCGCACACTGCACGCGAGGACCGTTGCCAGAGTCATGACTTGTGGGTTTCGGCATTCAATGCCCAGGCCACCATGCCATGCCCCCGAGCTACCATGCGAGATCAGCATGCAGTGGTGCAGGTAGGCTTGCAGGCGAGCAGGCACAAGGCTTGCAAGCGAGCATAAGGCTTGCAGGCGAGAGATGAAAGCGTGGGAGAGAAACAAGTGGGATACTTTCCTACTATTATTGCACAAGTGGGAAAGCACCTATCAGTCAAGACTTCTCGCTCCTCCTCTTCTCACCTTCCTTGCCCACCCCCTTCCCTATAACAACACTCCAGTCATCTCCTCACCAACCCTAGCCTCTCCCTGCGCTGCCCATTCCTTCGTTACCAACCATCCCCTTCTCGCCCAGTCCCACCCATCCTCCACTTCTCACTCCGCCCACCTTCCCAGTAAACCCCCACAGGCAACTGCCACACCGCCTCCCAATAACCCACCCCCCGATCCCTGGCTGCCCACCTTGGCCCTCCAAATGACCCTCCCCCTTCCCCCTTCCCCCACCCCCCCCCCAACCCCCCCCGCCCCCCCCCCCGAACCTAACCGCCCACCTTAGCCCTCCCAATTCCTCCATGCCCCCGTCAAAATCGCCCAACTTGGCCTTTCCCTGCCCCGACCGCGACTGCGCGAGCTTGACCAGCTCCGGCATGGCGACCTCCTGCAGCAGCAGCTGGAACGACGTCTCGCTGTTCGTCGCACCAAAACCTCCCACATCTCCACCTGCCTACCGCGGTACCTCGGCACCCGAGCCTCCTCTCACTCCTCCATTCATCCCGGTCTCCCCACCTATCCCATCCCTCCCCCTACTACCAGTCCCTTCCCGCGCACGTTTGCGCGTCACCTTACCTGTTCTCTCACCCACCTATGACCTATCCCGTCCCACCCAACGCACCTTGGCCTTTCCCCGCCCGGACCCCGACTGCGCCAGCTTGACGAGCGCGGGCATGGCGCCCTCCTCCAGCAGCAGCTGAAACGACGCCTCGCTGTTCGTCGCCAGCAGGTGCAGCGCCACCGCCGCATCCTCCTTCGCGCGAGACGACCCGCCGTCGATCACGTCCACCATGGCCGCGATCCCGCCCTCCGTGTGCACCGACTGCCGCCCCTCCGCCGATTTGCACAGATTCGCGATCACTGCCATGACTTTGTCCTCCATGCCCGGCTCCGCGTCCGTTAAGAGCTGCACGAGGACTTTGACGGTCCCCGCGGAGATTATATCGCGTACGCACGAGGACTCCAGGGAGAGGTTGAAAAGCGCGAGCGACGCGTCCTTTTTCCCGCGCAGGCTGCCGGTTTGCAGCAGGGAGATTAAGAACGGGATCGCGCCCGCGTCGCGCACCTTGCACTTGTTCTCCATCGGGCCCGACAGCGAGAACAGCGCCGCGGCTGCGTTTTCCCGCGCCGCGGGCGACCCGCTGCCGAGAACCGGCACGATGGCCTCTATCCCCCCGGCGGACGTTATCAGCGGCTCGACGCCTTCCGTTAAAGACATGTTAAGCAGCGACGTGACGGCGTGTTCCACGGTGGCCGGGTCGCTCGACGGGAGCAGCGCAATGAGCGCGTCGATCCCGCCGGCGGCGAGCAGGCGCGCCTTGTTCTCAGGGTTGTTCTTCAGGGACGAGCGGATGGTGGCGACGGCCTCACGCTTCTTGTCGACGTCGACGGCGTCGTCACTGAGCGTGGAGACGAGCGGCTCCATGTCGACGCGTGTCCGGTTGGGCAGCGGCGAAATGCTGCGGTCCATTTGCCGCCGGGAGTTGGAGCCCGAGCGGGAGTAGGAGGAGGTGGGGGGTAGGCCCATCGAGCCCATGGCGCTAAGTGAGGGCTGTCGCTGCTGCTGCTGCTGCTGCAAATAGTTGTTTGGCACGGGCGTTGGAGGGGTTTTAGGACGGCGGTTGAAAAGCGCAGACGTAATTCGGGAAGTCGGATGGTGACGTTGCTGGGTCAGGCGCTGTTCTTTAGTTAAGAAAACCTACAGGTTGTTCGAAAAAGGGGAAAGCTACTATGCCCGAGTACAATCAACTACGCTCAAGCACGAGCAAGCACGCGTGTCGTCGAGGAGGGGCTGGCTTAAAAAGAGGTTCTTGCGAGCAATGAAGCAGCTACTATGGGATCGCGACATTCACGGAGCTCGAAGGACGAGCAATAGTGAAACTCCATTCCCCTGAGGTTCCCACTCGCAGGTCCGCGGCTGCTGCGGGTTAGGCAGTGCGGCTGGGGGTCAGCAAAGCAAACAGCCACGGATCATTACTGAAACAATGCTGGAGGCTACAGCGGACTGGGCTCAAGAGTCCAAATACGGTACACAGAAAGAGGAGAAAAGGAAGTGGGACAAGTCTAGGGGCAGGGAACAGGCGTTGATGTGTTAGGAGCAGCTCATCAGCTGCTCTGTACTTGGAGCTGATAAAAGAGGTGGTGGTGAAAGGGGAGGAGGAGCAAGGAGAGAGAGCGCACGGCAGGCTCGAGGGTTTGGTTTGCTGGGTGGTATGGAAGTTACGGACAGGGCACTTGGCCCAAACCTGACCACTGACTGGTGACTGGTCCCTTCCTGATTTGGTGTGTGTGGTTTGTACTTGTTCCCCCCCCAGGCCTCGGCTCCAGGCTCGAGGCTTCCCCCACCTCTGAACCCAGCCAGCACGCCGCGTGTGAGGTGAGGTAGGTGATGGGAGATTCGGAGAGAGGTCAGGAGGGGTGTGCCGTGCGAAAGTAACAGACCCTGATTGGCCAACAAAATCGCTCGGCTCGGCTTTGCTGCCCGGCTTGGGAAGCGGTTCGGGGACTAGATGGAAAGTGGTGCTGGAAGCCTGGAATAATTGAGCTCAACCTTTTCACAGTTCTTTCCTTCCACTTGTTGAACTGTTGTACCGTATCAAAATTCATATGCACTGTGAAAAGACCGTACGAAGCATGTGCTGGTCTTGGCTCGGCTTTGGGTTCGTCATTATTTCTCGAGAGGGTTTTTTTTTTTTTTTTTTTTTTAATTTATTTAAGGAAAGTGGTTCGGAGGGTTCGGCTCGGCATGTAGGAGGTGTTCCGGCTCGGAATTCCGAGGCGCCCACCCAACATGGCAGCGTCTGGGCAACCAACCTTGTTGAAGCAGGCGAATTCTTGTAGCAAATCCTGTACAACATCCGACAAGGGATTGAAATCGCTGAGCTGTGGGGCAGCAAACGCATGAACCAAGCAGTTGGGCGGTTTCGTCCAGCCAGGCACGAGATGATTGGTGCTTGCGGAAGGGACCGTTATGGTTGGAGGGAAACAAACCTCGTGGACGATTCGTTGTTGAGCAGCAATCGACGCGTCGGGCCGAGAGCTGGAAATGGCGCATTCATGACTTGTGTCATGGGATAATCTCCCTGAATTATCCCCGTTGCAAATTTAGGGTTAGCATACCATTACCATACCCGTAGGAAACAGAAACACCACTTTCCATCCACTTCCGTGTTTTGGGGAGCCTTCTACATGATGGATCTTGATAATGAACACTACAAGCATTTTGTACAACAGAATGGCCAACGTGATTCCTCGCAACATCCAAATGGTTATCTAAAACCCTTTAGCCATCATTTCAAGCACCAGTCTAGTGCATGGACAACGCCTCCAATCAGCAATGCCGGTGTTTCGAAGGCCCCAACCCTTATCGGTGCATCTTGTTGTCCCCATACTTCGTATCGCGGTCACTTGCCATATGTGTAACGGTTGCGGTTATCCAGCGGTTGAGCCAGAGCCCCCTGCGCAGAAAGAACCCTCATCGGCAATGCCACAATCTGCTGCTGGATCTGGATCGGCTGCTGCATTGGAATCGGCGGTTGCACATGCATGGGGAACGGCAATTGCTGCGCATACCGCGGTGTCTGCTGCTGCAGCTGCTGGTGCTGGTGCTGGTGCTGGTGCTGGTGCTGCTGTCCATGCCGGTGGTTTTGTGTAATGGAATATCCGCCTGGCCTTGTCATGACCACAGGTTGCTGCAGCAGCACTGCCCCTGCTGGCAGGTTCTGGAGGATCACATGGGGTCTTGCAACGATGGAATGGTGGGCTCTATGCGTTGGTGCATGATGTCCTGCCCATGCGTTGCCTGGAGCAAGCAGCTGAGGCGCAGCGGCAGCAGCAGGCGTAGTGCGGCTGCGGTGCCCGTGGGCGGATTGATGATGATCTGCAGGAGAAAAGATGGAACAATGGCGTCAAGGACGGAAGAGAGGGAGGGGGAGGGGGAGATAGAAGGGGGCCCGGGGGGGGGGGGAGGGGAGAATATTGAGAGGAGAGAGGACCTACGTTTCAGCAATACTAAGGACTGCTTGAGGAAGAGAATTTGGGGCGGGAGGGGGGGGGGGGGGAGGGGAGTGGAGGGAGGGAAGAGAGTGATGGATGTCCAATGTAATGACAAAATGCCCAGGCAGTGCCATGAGATGCTTGTCAGTGGATGAAAGGGCTCTACAACCACAACGGGCTCATCACATACAGTGCGCCACAAAAATTGAAAAGAAAGAGGTTACCGTAATAAGCAAGGGCAAGAGCAAGGTCACCTGAAGTGCGAGCCACTTTGCGTCTCGGCGACTGCCCCCTTACAAAGTCAGACACGGGCCGCGTCCTCCAATCCTCCTCCTCCTCCACGCCTCTCCACCTACCCTCCGCCTCTCTCTCCTCTGCTGCACCTACACCGTTCCCCCTCTCCCCACGGTCCCCCCTCTCCCCGCCATTCCACCGCTCCTCGTCTCTTCTGCCTCTCGACCCTCCCCCCCCCGTTCTAACCCTTCCACGCACATAACAATCTCCAGACCGCTCATCACCATCACCGTCTATCCACTCCCTCCCTCTCTTCTGCTCCCTGCGCCTCTCCTCCCCCGCATCCCTCTCCCTTCCCCTTCTCTGGCTGTTCACCCCTCCCCCGTTTCTCTCGTCCCTACCAGCGTCCTCTAGGCCACGAGGGGAGGAGCCAATGAGGAGGTCAACGAGGGAGGAGGCGGAGGAGAGGGAAGGAGGAGGGCAGGGGGCATCCATCACAGCACGAGCAGCACGGGAGAAGGCTGCTGAGATGGTTTCAAACTCGTTGACTCGCACGGTTCGCGCACAGTTGGAGGTGCGGTGCAGGAAGTCCTCGATCTGGTGTGGTGAGCGCGGGTAGGGGTGTGCAGGGGGGGAAAGAGGGGTGAGGGGAGAGGAATGAGGGCGGGAGAGGGGGGAGAACAGGTGTGATGCAGAAAATCCACAATGTGGAGGTGAGTGGGAGTAGGGATGGGAAGGGAGGGAAAGGGGGGTTGGGGGGGGGTTGGGGGGGGGGGGGTCGGGTGGAAGGGGGGGAGTTGCAAGGTGGGGGGAGAAGCGGGAAGAGGAAAGGGATACTCCTAAGCAGGACCATCCAAACGTGGATGCAGAGCAGACGCGCACATGACAATCAATGCACCCATGTGTGTTGTGTGTTTCATGCATGTGTACATACATGTGCATGTATGCGTGCCTCAGCAGTGGTTCTTTCCCCGAGGAGCTTCACTTACCGCCATCACAGTGACGTGGTTCTCTTGAGGAAAGCCCCTCTCTATCCACCTGCCCTCGTACACACTGCCGCACAGCATGTGCGTCCATAACCCCTCCTGCGCTGTCATCTGCAGTCGAGATACGACACAGTTAGGAAAGCAGTGAGGAGCACAATAACGAGGATAGGCATCAGCCCGCATTAGGAAACACAGGCGGGGAAGCTACAGGAACCAAAAGGTGGAGAGAACTGCAAGCAAGTGGCTCAGAGAGCTTAAGGAGAGCCGAAGGACAGCTAGAGGAGAGCTAAAGGAGAGCTGAAACTTTTGGGTCAGGTGGGGGGGGGGCGGGCCAAGGAATCCCCACTGGCACGAGAAAATCTCCTCTGACTGCACCAACCTGAACAAAGAAAGAAGCCAGAAGGTGCGGCAGTGACGCTGTGTTTCTCCTCCCATACCCCTGCTGTGCAAACTCTGCCGCCCTAGTCTCCGCGTGTGCCAGCCGCTCCAGCAGCTCTTGCTCAGGCAGGGGGACAGAGTCACGCCCACTGGCTGGGGTGGGGGATGAGAAGATGGGGTGAAGGCAGGAGGAGGAAGGGGATCCGCTGAACGACTACGAGAATCAGACACAAAGGGAAGAGAATCAGCACGATGATGAGGGGAGAGGTGCAAGCAAAGGGAGGGGAGATGGGGAGCGAGCAACAGCACCAGGGGCACGCAGAATGCAACATGGGGACTCTAGAGCGCACACTGTCCTTCTCAGCAGAAAGTGATTCAGCGTGTAATGGTGCTCCAAAGTAGACCTTCCCCATCTTGTTAATCAGTTTCAAACAATGTGTGTGCAGCGGAGTGTGCCATTGATTGTGAGCTTCGGAGCGTCTCCCAAGCATCAGGAGGCGTATGGGGTGTGAAGCACGGACGCAGACGAGAGGGAGAGAGGAGGGGGGTGAGATGCAGACGAGAGGAGAGGAGGGCTATCGGCGTATCGGATCAGACAGGCGTACATAGAGGCTCGGGAAAGTGGCCCATGAGGTCTTTGAACGGGGGCAGGATGGGCGGCGAGCGCGTCTGACAGGGGGGGGGTACAGTGGGAGGGGGGACGAGAGAAGAGAGAATGGCCACGGACGAAAGGGAAGTGTGCCGGGCGAAAAACAGGGGAAGAGAACGAGAAAGAGGGGAGAACACGTGCAGGCGGCCGAGCGAGGGGGGGTTGGGGGAGGGGGACAGGGGGGAGGTGGGAGGGAAAGGGGAAGCGGAGAAGGGAGTGGGGATGGAAAGAAAATGAGAGAAAGGGTGAGTGGTGCATGACAGAATGTACGATGAAGAACAGGAGGTGAAAAAACCATAGGCAACAGGGTTGGAAATGAAGGATCTTTTGTGCAAGTGTTGAAGCTACAGGGGTGGAAGAACGAAGCTACTGGAGGGACGGAACGCAAAAGCGAAGAGAAAAAAACGAGGAAACAAAATTCACTCCCTGTAAGCCAACATGCATAATGTCCAGCAGGCAGCATCACCAGCATTGCCTTGTCCGGATGTCAGTTTCGCAGGCATTTCAGCCTCGCTTGTGCGTCAGCATTCCTTGCACTTTCACCCTTACCTGGAGGTGCAGCGCGCAGAGGAGAATTAGGGCGAGGGAGTTGAGCGTCCCGTTGCGCGGATCGTTGATGGCCTCGTTGCGCGCCCACGCCTTCACCTGGAGGGTGGGCGGGCGGGAGGCAAAATCAGACAGGCAGAGAGCAGTCAGTGGGGGAGGGGGGGAAAACAAGTGCGCACACTCACACACACACACACACGCGTGCGCACGCACACACATAGGCGAAGGGATGGAGCTGCAGCGCATAAATGGCAAATATCGGACATACATGAATGTGGCACTCAGAGCACATGCACTCCGAACACCAAGGTGAGGACCACTCATGCATGTGCAGTTGTGAGGCGCCTCATAACGAGAATCATGCATGCACGTGCACGCGCATGTTCATGTGCATGTGCATGTGCACGATCGTATACGTGTGCATACAAGGAAGCAGAGGTGTCTGAAGCGCGGATCAATGGAGGAGACGAATCGGATGAAGCGGGACTTGAAGAAGCCGTCGCGGTTGGCCACGGAGATGTCGCAATCCACCCGCGAGCGCGAGTGCACGAACTTGACCACGGGCACAATGGCTCTCAGCACCACCTCCACCTTGTGCACTGCCCCCGCTGGTGGGAGGAAGGGCCAGGGGAAAGGGCGGGGAGAGGGTAGAGGGGACGGGGAAGGGTGGAGGGTGGAGGGGAGCAGGGGGAAGTGGGAGCAGGAGCAGAAGGGAGTAGAAAGAGAAGGGAGGGGGGTGGGAGGATATTGGGGGCCGCTGGTGCAGGATAGTACGACAGTGAGGTAGCCAAGCTCCACCCGCGAGCGCGAGTGCACGACCTTGACCACGGGCACGATGGCTCTCAGCAGCACCATCTCCATCTTGTGCACCGTCCCCCCAGGTAGGAGGGGAGGGGAGGGATAGGAGAAGGTAGAGGGACAGGTGGTCGGATGGGTGATGGAGCGAAAGGGGAAGTGGGATCAGGGAGGCGAATAGGAGGAGGGCGATTTGGGGGGAGGGCGCTGATGCGAGGTGGTATGGCAAAGAGGTAGCCAAGCTCCACCCGCGAGCGCGAGTGCACGACCTTGACCACAGGCACGATGGCTCTCAGCAGCACCTCCACCTTGTGCACCGCCCCTCCTGGTGGGAGCGGGAGCGGAAGGGGAGGGGGAAGAGAGGGAAAGGGGCAAGGGACGAGGAAGGGAGAAAAGATGGCCGGCGTGATCTAAGACAGTGGGACGTCGCAGACACAAACACACATGCGCGCGCACGCGTGCAAACATACAGACACACACACACACACACACACACACACACACACACACACACACACACACACACACACACACACACACACACACCATACATACACACGCTCCGGCTCACACCCCCTCACGTCTGGCCACACCCGTACCTCTCTCCAACCTCCTGATCACTGTTGCCACCCGTCTGAGCACGGCTATCCTGGCATCCCTGGTCCTCGGCTCGCCCATGCCCACGCCCAGCGAGGGCGCGAGGGAGGGCGGGGGGGAGACCTCGAGAGAGAGGTCCAGGTCTGATGTGTTGGACGACAGACCCATCTCGTACGAGCCAAAGGGAATGAGACGCGCCGCTGAGGGGGGGAGATGGGGAGAGAGGAAGGGTGGGAAATGAGGGGGGAGGAAGGTGATTCACGAATCGATTCATTCAAGGAATGCTATGCCAGGATGGCAATCTTAGGGCGTCGCACGCAGACACACGTGCACTGCACACTGGACAGCATCCTCACGCGCAGTTCGGATCAGATTGCTCCACCAAAATTCACTCCATCAAGTGTCTGTGCTTTCCACACTTCTGGGTGAACTACCACAAGTCGGCGAAACAAAAGCAAGCAAACTCGACCCATCCATAGAACTCGGCCCGAATAGCGTGGGTGAGCACAGCAACAATATCTGCTCTGGCAACCATTGATAGGAGTCTAGTTCTGAGGCGCCTCAAAACTACACTCCTATCACCCCATCCATCTTCCCCTACCATAGAACTCGGCCCGAATAGCGTGGGTGAGCACAGCAACAATGTCTGCTCTGGCAGCCATGGCAGGCGCGTCTGGCAGCAGCCGCTCCAGCGCCTCCCCCACCACCCTCCCCAGCGGCCCCTCCTGCTCCCTCTGCCACCCCCACCGCTGCACCATCTGCTGCTCGCGCTCCAACGCCAGCTGCGCCACTGGAGGGTGTGGGGGGCGGGGGGAAGGAGGGGGAGGCAAGGGGGGGAAACTGGGAAGAGGGCAGGAAGGCGGAGGGAAAGGGAGGTACGGGGAAGGGAAGGGGGATGGGGGATGGGGGATGGGGGATGGTTCGGCGCTGATACATGGCAGTGAGAAGGCCCAAACCTGGCTGTGAAAGGAAGAAGATTGTGATTACACATGCTAGTTCGTTCGTCCCTGGGTTCATCCTTGGGGTCATCCTAGGTTCATCCTCGGTTCATCCCTGGGGTCATCCTCGAAACCCCACTTCACCCTATTCCCGCATAACCCTTTTGAACCACGTGACCCCATGTCCAATCAGCAGAATCCAATGACCCTATTTCCGCCTTTCCTTCCCCCTTCACCCTGTTCCCACCTCTGCTCACCGTCAAGAGAGGGCTCCATAAGCCCAGGTCTTGCTAGGAACGCCATGATTGACGGAAGCGAAAACCAAGGGAGAAAAAATCGCCTGGTCTAGGCGGGCGAAGTCGTTAACGCTCACAAGGTCTCGGACGAAATCGCTCGCTCGCCGGCGACTGCGGCGACGGCACGATAGCTAGTTAGGTTACGGCACATCCGTCTGTTTAGTGGCCTGGCCCGGACGAAATAGATGATTGTCTTATGAATGATGTATGAGGGATGGGTGGTCAGGGACGACGAAGAAAGCGGGCCCAGACGATTACACTTGGCGGCTGGAACGTAACCATAAACGGCGGAGAAACGGAGGCACAACCGAAGCCTGAAGCGGAGCAAGAGTCACGGCGTCTCCTATCCTCCCTTGCACGCCTCAGCGGTATGCATTCGCTCGACCAACCCCTCCGAGCACCCGTTTCTTCCCCGCTCTACCGAAACCGCTACAGCAGAGCCAACGCGTTGTCGCGGAGTTTAAGAGACCCTTGGCCTAACAGCTGCTGTGTACTGAACTCCCTGTACCCTGAAACGCTTCTGCTTCTACCCATCCCAACGCCGTCGCAGGTTGCATCTTGCGAGCTAGCAAATTGAACGAGCAAGCCTGTTCGCCTCAGCTAAATGAAGTCAGAGAGCCAATCTCGAGGAGCATTCTATCAAGGGGGGAATCCCGATGGCGTTTGAAATTATGAATTCCAACCGCAAATAGAGAGCTGCATGTAGACAACTTGTAATGAAGCGCAAAGAGCGTGCGTCCAAGGATTGATGAGCGAGGAAACAATACAATTGAGTCACATCAAAACAGCATGGAGCATGGATATAGCTAGCCTAGGAGCACACGGTTGTGGCTCGGCAGAGCTGGGACATGTGGTTCGTAAAATAGGCAGAACGCCCAACTCTAGGCATGCAAACAGCAAGGCGGGCATCAATGTATGGGGCTTGTCAGGAGACCACATTTGGGGCCGCGATTTGAATTTCGTGGCAAAATTGTGCAGCAACCCCGTTGTAGCAGTGTACGCCTTACTAACTAAAACTCGTGATAAGGAAATACCATTTCCTTACACCCTCCCCCATCCAAGGTATGGTCTTAGCTAAGACCGCGGACATCGCGCACATTACGAGATTGAAAGTAGACCCGTAACATCGGGTAATTCTTGATCTGTGCCAGAGGCACCCAACTGTTTTCCAGGGCCGTTCGGTCCTTCCAACATATCAGACACTCGATCAGGCGAGCCTCTCGAGGATCCCTAATACGATGGCTGGGAACCTTCGCAGGTTCGACAGTAGGCTCGGCGAGCAATCGGATATTCGGGTTCGTTCGATGACATAGTAGCTGTCAAACATATATTGTATGTTTCTGTAGACTATATAGGGTTGTGCCTTAGGGAGTACAACCTATTAGGTTGTATTCCCTTGTATGCCTTGTTCTAAAACATTCTTTCACTTCAACATGGTATCATGAGTAGGTAGCCCCCCCCCCCCCCCCCCCCCCCTTGCGCTTCCGCCATAGGTCCTAGCCGTCCCCTAGCGGCCCCGCGGCCCCGTCCCCTAGCGGCCCCGTCCCCTAACGGCCCCGCGAACCCGTCATCTAGCGGCCCCGCGGCCCCGTCCCCTAGCTGCCCCGCGACCCCATCCCAGAGCGGCCCCGCGGCTCCGTCACCTCGCGGCCCCGCGGCCGCGTCACCTAGCGGCCCCGCGGCCACGTCCCCTAAAGCCCCGCAGCCCCGTCACCTCGCGGCCCCGCGGCCCTATCACCTCGCGGCCCCCCACCCCTCCTAGCCGGCCCCGTCTCCCTGCCAGCCCCACCTCTTTGCTGACCCCGTCGCCTTGCCGCCAGCGGCCTCGTCTTCTAGCCGCCTCGCCGCCGTCCTCGGCCCCCTCGGCATCGCACTGCACCGCTGGCACCGTACTGCACCGCCCTGTACCGCACTGCACCGCATTGCCCTGCACCTCCCTCCACCGCACAGTACCGCACATCACCGCTTTCCGTCGCGCTCTTCTGCCCAGTACCGTCTTTCTCCTACTGCTGCAACCATGATGGCGGATGCGGTCCAGCGTTTTGAGGCTAAGGGGCAGCCGATTGAGTTCGACTCGTGGCTCGTCGACCTCCAGCGACACCTGACTGGTCAGCGGCAGGATGGCCACTCCCTAGCCGTCCACATCGACAGTACGCTCTCCTGCCCGGACCCCCCTGCTGCCCTCCCGTTGACCCCACCTCTGCTGACCGTGAGTCCGCTGCAGCTGCTGCCCTTGTCCGTGCTGTCTGGTTGTCGCGTGACGCTGTCGCACAGCTTGCGACTAGTCATGCCCTTCCCCTGTCCGAGCGCCCCCGATTTAGGTCTGTTAGGACTGCGCAGGAGTTCCTTGAGGCTGTTGTTGCGCACTATTCCACCCCACCCTCTCCCTATGTAGGTCGCCTAATCCTGCCCATGCTCTTTCCTGACCTTGCGTCTTTCCCCACTGTCGCTGACCTAGCCGCCCACCTGCGCACGCTAGACACGACCTGGCGTGCTGCCTGCACTAAGGCTCAGCTTCGTGTGTTTCATCCCCCCATCTGCTCTACCCTCTACCTGCTTGCCACCCGCCTCCCTGACCGCCTTGCCACCGCCCGCGATCACTTGCTTAGTCTCCACCCTGCTGACCTCACCCTCACTGACTTTGTCGACACCCTGTCTGCCATAGAGACCCGTCAGGGCTCTATCGCCCAGTCTAGCGGTACCCTGCCAGTCTCTATCTTTCCGGGCTCTACCCCTGCTCAGTGCTCTTACTCCGACGGTTCTGCTGCAGTTGCGGAGACAACTCCGGCTGTGGAGACAGCTGCCGCAATGCAGTTTCGTCCGGGTAAGGGTCACCGCCCCAAGGCTGGGTGCGGCGGAGGTAGTGGAGGAGGGGGTGGTGCCGGTAGCTGAGGAGGAGGTGGCTCGCCCGCTGGTAGTACTGACGAGGGGGCTGGGGCTGGTGCCCCGGAGCAGCAGCCCCAGCAGCAGCAGCAGGCTCCGTAGCTAGACTAGCAGCAGCAGCAGCAGCGGAGCGTCGGCCGTCTCCCGCCCGGGTGGATTGGAGCTGGAGGTGACGGTAGTCGCAGTGGTCGCTCGCGTGGCGTGTCATCGGGTGGTAGTCAGAGTGACGGGCACTGCCAGTACGAGCTCCAGACCGGTCCTCGCCGCGGCCTCGTGTGCAGTAAGATCGGCCATACCCTCGCTCGTTACTTTCGTCGCCTAGACGATTTGTTTCGTCTCCGCTTCGGCCCGTCGCTTGACCTCCCCGACTGGCACAGTCTGCCCCGTCGTCATGTTCAGATCTTTGATATGGACATAGATGAGATTAGCTCTGCTTTGTATGTGCTGTATGTTGATGACACTAGTGTGACTGGTTCCTATTACCCTGTGTTGCCTAGTGTAGGTGTGCCCAGTGTGCCTGGTTCAGGCTCCCCTGCTAAGTGAGGCGTAGGATCCCCTGCCTTGTTTAGCCTAGGGTCCTCCCTCGCCCCTCCAACCTCTGTCGCCGCTGCCGCGCTCTCCTTCACCCTGGACTTCGGCGCTTCCCGGTGTTTCTTTCGCGACTCCACGATGCTTACACCACTTGCCGCTCCTGCTGCAGTTGCTCTTGTAGACCCTTCTTCCAATCCTGTCGTTGCCCGTAGCTTCACTACTCTCCCCTGTCCGGCGGTTCCCTCGGGCTCCCTTACAGGCCTGCACAACCCCTTGTTCTCTAGGAACCTAGTTAGTGTCGGCTGCCTCCAGGACCTTGGCGTCACCACTACGTTCCCTGGGCACGAGCGGTACGCTATCTGTACTGAGACTGTCACTGGTGCCCCCCCTCACCACGTTCCCCCGGGACCCAGTGCCTGGCCTGTTCACGCTGGACACCGCGTTCCCCCCAGTTGGGATGCCTCCCCAGGTACCTGCGTCTTCCCAGTTTGCTGCGGCAAGCTCGTGTCGGTCGCTGACTCACCTGTCACTTCTGTGGCACCACCGTCTAGGTCACCCCGCCCTCACCCGTATCCGTCACATGTCCCAGCACCGTCTTGTCCTAGGCCTCCCTGAGTCGTTCCCTACGCTCCCCTCCTCACACGCGCCTCCGTGCATGCCCTGTGTCAAGGGCCGGCTCCGCCGCGCCCCTCACTCCTCCTCGCTCCCCCCTAACTCCGCACCACTGCAGACCCTTCACATGGACATCTGGGGCCCCGCCCCCGTCCATGGGCCACGTCGCGAGCGCTACTTCCTAGTGCTTGTTGACGACTACACCTGCTATACCACCGTCTTTCCCCTAGAGTGGAAGGCCGAAATGCTTGACGTTCTTCTCCCGTGGCTTGTCTCTGCGCGTGTTCACCGAGGTCTCCTTGTCTTGCGTCTTCACTCCGACCGTGGTGGCGAGTTTGCCTCTGGCTACCTCGGTCGTTTCTGTCATGCGGAGGGCATCACCCAGACGTTCACCCTGCTGGACTCCCCGCAGCAGAATGGGGTCGCTGAGCGACGCATCGGTTTGGTCATAGAGGTTGCTCGTACCTCCATGATCCATGCCGGTGCACCCCATTTTCTATGGTCTTTCGCCGTTCGCTACGCCGCTCACAATCTTAACCTCTGGCCGCACCCTTAGCGGTCGCAGGTTTCGCCGACCCTCCTCTAGACCGGGTCCCCTGGTGACGCGTCTGCGTTTCACATCTGGGGCTGCCTCGCTCACGTTCGTGCCTCTAGCACGGACAAGCTCATTGCCCGCACTGTCCCCTGTGTCTTCCTAGGTTTCCCCCTCGACTCGTCAGACTGGCAGTTCTACCTCCCGCCTTCTCACTGGTTCTTTCACTCTCGTGACGTCACTTTTGAGAAGTCTGTCTCCTTCTACCACCGCTTTCCCTACCGTGGTCCCCCGGTCACTCCCCCCCAGTTCCTGGTGGCCCCCCCTCCCCCGGTCAACCCTGTCCACCCCCCTCCCTGCCCTGCCCCGTCTGGTGTATCTCACGTCACCCCCCTCCCGTCGGTTGTCCCTGCTGAGGAGTCTGCTGACTCTTGAGGCTCGGTGGAGTCTCTTCCCCCACCTGTCCCTACCCCGGTCTTGCCTCCCCTGTCGCCGCCGCTGCTGCCGCCGCAGCCGTAACCGCTATCGCCACCGCCGTTGGGGTTCGTCCGTTCTGGGGGTGCTCGGGAGCGGGCTGGAGCTGGTTCTGGAGCGGACTCTAGGGGTGCTAGCATGGGGCTTCTCGGAGGGAGCCGTATTGTCGCTCGATGTTCTGGTCTTGGAGTCGGGCAGCAATCGCTGGTGTCGCCGCCGGTGTCCGCTCTTTGCCTCCTCGGTCTCTCTTCCCCTGACCACCCGTCGCTACCTCCCCCGCTGCCGCCACCTCCTCCTCTGCCGGTCCACGGCCCTGTGTTTCCTCCCCCGGACTCCTCTCTGGCTCATTTCCCTCCCCGTTCTCCTCCTGTGTCTCTCCCCTCTCTCCTGACCCGACTCCTCCGTCTCACGTCTGGTCTCGTCGTCTGTCTCGTGCTCATCCTACATCCCCTGTTCCGAGTTCTCACCCTATGTTGCTTTGCTCTCACGCATCTCGTGCTCCTCCTCTCCTCCCATCTCCACCTCCATCATCACTTGCTGTGGCCCC